AGTGATACCTGAAATTAACATATTGCTCAATATCTTAATTCGGTGGCTTGCTCAAAAGCATTCTCAGTGATATAGAGAGCATCTCATTTTCAACTTTGAAAGGAAGGGATTGGGATTTCTTAAAAAGACTGAACTCTGGTAAAAATAGCTTAATTGCTAAGAGTAAGTCTCATAATATTTGATGATTTTTTCAATAAATAAAGGTATCAATGCTGTTATTGGGCACATTTATTTTTGATGAATTACTCTATCATTATAAACAATGTAAGTAGTTCAGTAAAGTATAAAGGAGAAATTATAAAATAACCCCAAATCCCATACTTTTAGTAACATTATTCGGGCTTCTCCCTATGCACATATTGAGACAGAAGGCGAGAGAGAGAGAGAGGTACATAACTAGACAGAACTCATTTTATAAAAATTGTGTCATACTTTTTAATAGAACGTGTTCAATTTAATTTTACTTATATTATAAAATCCAATTTACCAGAAAAAGAAACTGAAATGAAAATAAATGTAATTGAATTTAACACAAGAAAAAGAAGTTGAAGTGAAAAATGAAAATGATAAATGTTCCTTCCCCACAGAAGAATTACAAAATTATGAAAAAATCATTGAGAAGTTAGAGTCATTATCTTATTTAACCACATGTACTAATTTTAGATTCTATTAGTTGACTTCCTGCCATAAAAAGTAAGAAATTACCAGTCTCACTTCCTTTCCCACCTTCTAATTTTGTTAGTTATCTCATTCTAACTTTGCCAAGGTTTAAAACATTTACATTTGGTTCTATAATTGTAATTGCTGTGATTGCTGATGATTAGTGTGACATTTAGACAGATTCGATGTTCACCATGGCTTTGTATCGCTGCTTCTCTGTTAGTAAGTTCTTTATTTTGATTCATATACCCATTTGGATCAGAAGGGCACAGAGGTTTTCTGCTTCTTTTGGTTTTTCAAGGAGACCTGTCTTGTGCCTTTAAATTAAATGCAACTTGGCTGTATATTACTCTTGGCTCATACTTTCTTTCCCCTAGTACTTTATAGCCATTGCTTCATTGTCTTTTGGCACCTACTGTTATTGTGCAGACAGCTGAGGTCAGCCTGATTCTGCCCCCACCTTGGAGGTGACTTGACTTTCATGCATAATATTTTAATTGTTGAAGTTCAAAACCTTCAACAGGATATGGTTGGTGTTGAAAGCTCATGTTAATTTTTCCTAAAAAACAGTGTATTCTTTCAACATATGAAATCAGTTTTTCCTTGATTTTAGCGAGTTTCTGTTTGATACATTTGAATACTTTTTCTGTCTCATTCATTAGTTTCTTAATTCAGGGATGCCAATAGTGGGTCATCTTTGTCCTCAATATCCATTACCATCTCTCAATTTTCTTTAATATCTTTGTCTTTTTCTTTTGCATTCACTGTAATTATCTTACTATAATAAACATCTTTTCTGTATTCAGTAAGTTTGTGGCTTCAGCCCCCACTTGCCGTTGTGTATTTTCATTCTTTTTGGTCTGTGGAGATGTTTATCTTGTTTTGAGTCCAATCTATGTCCTTAAAGATATTTAAAAATATATTCTATCATTCCTATGTGTTTGGGGAAAGAGGGTGGGAGGAGAAAAGAAAGGTTTGTGTGTCTTTAAAGTTCCAGCCTGACCAGAATTCTCTTCTAATTTTTAAAAGCTCTTCTGTGTCTATCTCATTTCTTATTCCTAATAATATTTATTTATTTATTTAAATCTTTTCTTCTTTCCTTTAGACTTCCCAGAAGTGATTTCTTCTTTCTGGGACCATTTTCTTTCTTCTTGAAATATATTTTTAGAAGTTCCTTAGAGAGTATCTGTTGGTAGAAAATTTACCGTTGTCGTTTCTTTTCTTATTGTGATGGCTAGGATCCTTCAGTGCAATGTAGGAGGGGTGATAATGGGAACACCAATGAGGGTCCAGTCAGGAAAACAGAAACCATTCTAGGTATTTCAACAGAGGAGATTTAATAGAAGAAATTGGTTACACAGGTGATAAGAATATATAGTCACACAGCTGCACTTCATATAACAAAAATAAGTACCAGTCATATTACTAAAAAGTTTATAAAACCAGCCAAAAATAAAGACAAATATTAGGATGGTGAAGTGACCCCAAGGTGAGCAACAGCAGGGAGCTCGACCAGCCTAGGACTGGAGGACAAAAGGAGGAACCGGGCTTCACAGAGCTCAGGAGCCAGGGCTACCTGGTGGAACATGGAACCAAGACAGTGACCAGGAGTTGGGACAAGGGAGACTCAGGAGATGGTACAGATCTCAGAGAGATAGGAAGGGAAACACTCTGATTATACCTTTCTGCTGCCCTCCAGTTTTTTACCATCACTTCCCACTGGCCGTGCTATCTGGATGCCCGAGGCTAGGGAGCTGGGGAATCAGAGTCCTCCCTTTACAATGAAACAGTAGCTTGCTTAGCTACATAACTCTAAGTTGAAAAAATCCTTCATACCTTTGAAGACATTACTTTTCCATTTTTCTGTGTCCTCCCTTTAGAACTTTAGACAATTGTCGTGTCTCCTGAAGCTAACTTCCTATGTTTAACCTTTCTCTCATATTTTTCTATTTCTATCTTTTGAATATTGAGTTTTCCTAAACTCTACCCTCCACATCACTGACCTTCTCTTATAATCATCTATGCTAAAATTTATTTTTTGATAATTGCTTTTAAAAAAATCATCTTTATGAAGGCATAATATACTTATTTTAAGTATACAGTTCAATGAGTTTTGACAAATGTATACAATCAAAATGCTTTTTAGATGCACTCATGTTGCTGCTTGTCTCAGTAGCTCATTCCTTTTTACTGGTGACTAGTATTCCATTGTATGGATATACCACCATTTGTTGTTCCATTCATCTGTTGCTGGATGTTTGAACTGTTTTCACTTTGGGACTGTTATAAAGTTGTTGTGAACACTCATGTCTTTGTGTGGACATATGTTTTCATTATCTTGGATAAATACCTAGAAGTAGAATGGCTAGTCATATGATAAGTGAATGATTAACTTTATAACAAACTGCCAAACTGTTTCCCAAAGTGTTTGTGCCGTTTTATATTCCCACCAGCAATGCATGACAGTTCCCGTTGCTCTACATCCTTACCAACACTTGGTATTATCAGTGTTTTTAATTTTAGTCATTCGGGGCTGGCCCCGTGGCCGAGTGGTTAAGTTCACGCGCTCCGCTGCAGGTGGCCCAGTGTTTCATTGGTTCGAATCCTGGGTGCAGACATGGCATTGCTCATCAAGCCACGCTGAGGCAGCGTCCCACATGCCACAACTAGAAGGACCCACAATGAAGGATATACAACTATGCACCGGGGGGCTTTGGGGAGAAAAAGGAGAAAACAAAATCTTTAAAAAAAAAATAATAATAATTTTAGTCATTCTATTGGTGTGTAGTAGTATCTGATTATGGTTTTAATTTGCAATTTGCTGATGAATAGTGATGTGGAGTATCTTTCAAGGGACTCAGAACTGATACTGCTATTCAAGTTCTCGGACAATGTACTTGAATGTTCACTGCATGCTAAGCACTACTCTTGAGGAAAATCTCAGTTGAAGCCTCTGTTCTCTTTGAATTGTGAAAAGATTGTGTCTACTCCCAGCTTTCAGATAATCATATTTTCCACATAAACGGACATAAATTTTAAGTATGATAGGCAGAATAAGGTCTTCCCCCGGCCCCAAAGATGTCCACGTCCAAATCCCTAGAACATGCAAATATGTCAAGTTACGTGGTAAAGGGGAATTAAGGTTGCAGACAGAGTTAAGGTTGCTCCTCAGCTGATCTTAGAACAGGGAGGGCATCCTGGATTATCCAGGCGGGGCTCAACATCATCACAAGAGTCTTCAAAAGTGAAAGAAGGAGGCAGAAGAGAAGGTCAGAGGGATGCACTACGGGTTAGGACTTCAACATATGAAATTGGGTGGGACACAAAGTAGAGGGCACAAAGGCTATTAAAGAAGGCATAAAAAATTTTTCAGAAAGCTAAAATGAAAGTACTTAACTTCACATCCAATATTTGTGCCTAAGGGAAAATTTAAATGGATTTCAAATGATGATAGTTCTGGAGTAAAGATATGCCCAGATTTTTTTAATTAGTTATATAAGGGAATGAGAAAACGGGAATTTATATTAAGCCCTGACAATGATAAAATGAAGCGAGCACTGATATAAAAATAGTTAATGCCATATTTTAAAATGCATCAATATTTATAAATGTTTGCAGTAACAATCATAGTAATAAAAAAAGTGGTAAGCCGGGCTGGCCCCGTGGCCTAGTGGTTAAGTTTGGCACACTCTTCAGTGGCCTGGGTTTGGTTCCCAGGTACCGACCTACACCACTCGTCAGTGGCCACACTGTGGTGGCAGCTCACACACAAAATAGAGGAAGATGGCACAGATGTTAGCTCAGGGCGGATCTTCCTTAAGCAAAAAAAAAAGCATTTGAGTTGAGTTTTAAGTGTCTTCAGAGGCTTGTTTTTTTTTTTAAAAAAGGTAAGCTATTATAATAATTACCTAAAAACTTATTTCCTGAGGTCAAGGACAACTAATCAACCTGGCTAAAACCAGAAGAGGTAATGTGAACCTCAAAAACACTTCTGAAGAAAAAAGCATAAATTCATAGTTCATTGTTACAATATAAGGATGAGAGTTCTTGCAACGTCAATCCTTTAAATATGAGTATTTTCAACATTATGTTAAGAGTAATTTGGACTAATAGTGTGAGGAAGAAGAAACACGTTTTGGAAACTACGGAACAAATCCAGTAGTTTCTCAGTAAACACCCAGTGGGAGTGGACTGGTGGACATTCCTCCGCCTATGGCTTTGTTCTCACCACCACAAGACCAACCCAAACACATAGAAATCAGGGCTCTGTGAGCATCAGCAGTATCCGCGGAAAATAAATCAGCAGAGAAGGGCACCAAATAGAATTCAAGACTCAATAGTTCTATCCTTTGAAGATACTTTAATTTTGCAGTTATTGATTAATTAAAAAACACAGTTGTTTTCAGCATTTCCTAGCTACAGTAGTGCGTAGGAAATTTCATTCTGAACAAAGAAGTAATTAATGAAATAACAACACACCTTAACAGTTTACATTGATAGGTTACAGTTTACAAGGTGCTTTCACATACAATATCTCATTTGATTCTTACAACAAGCAGAAAAAACAGTCAGTGGGAAAGAAAAGTGATTTTTTTTTTAGGTTTAACAATGAGTATTTTCAGGCCAATGGGCAGTCAATACAAGAACATATCAAAAACAAGACAGCAATACCCACAAGCCACAATATCTCTTTTGGTAGGTTGACAGTTTGATATCAATTGGAAATTTAGCATCAGGGAAGGAGGAGGGAATCAGAACAGACACGAGGTTCTCATGATATTCAAAGAATTCTAAGAACACTGTAAGCGATAAGGAGAAGAAAGATTGCCTAAAATATCACCTTACCAAGACTTACTTTAAAGCTCATTATCCTTTCAAAATGTCAAATGAAAAGAACCTTGTCTGACATGAAAGTTAGAAGGGACCTTAGAGACTAGGAGAACTGAGGCCAAGGTCACGCTGACAGTGGCAGACCAGGCCTGAGACCCAGATGTCTTGACTGTCAGGCTAGGGCTCCTTCCTCCACGATGCCATCTCATTATTAACTGAGTTAAAACTCAATTTCTTCTCTTTCAAATAATGCAATCTGAGATTAAATACTGATTCATTTCACTTATTTCTAATTCAAGTTTTTATCTTGTTCTTGGCTAAATTGTGGCTAAAACTGGGAGTTTTACATACTTTTAAGATATTCTAATTCAGTGTACTTGATTGGTCAGAAATAGACTCCCTTGATATATTTGAAATCTTGCTCATGTCTTTTAAATGCAGGGTAAAATGGAATGGCTAAGTAGCCCTCAAAACCAATGTATGCCTAGGAGTCACTTACCTAGGCGGATTCTACAGCAAGTCGTACTGGGCAGTAGTAGTTCCATTAAAAAAAAATATTTTTAGAGTTCATAGAAATCTTTTTAGTTACTGAAAACTAAAATTTAATAATCAAATTGTCATCCCCTTGATTTATTAAAATAATTTTACAATAATATACAACAAGCTACCATAGAATTTATAGCATACATATAGAATACAATGATCAGCATGTTCTTGGGTCTAAATGAAATACAAAAAAACTAATTAAAATATTTTATACAAATGATGTTTTAAATTTATTAACATGATGATATATTTTTGTTACATAAAACTTGCTACAGCAAAGTATTTCATATTTTTCTTGCACATTTTAAATACAGGTGGACCAACTGAAATCAGTATCAGCTTTTAAGTGACATAACCATGCAGAAACACTTGACAACTAAAAGACGTACAGATTGCTGCAGAGAACATCTCAACAGGCTTTTCCAATGTCTCAAAGCTTTCACGAAGGTGTGGTACAGACGAAAAGAAGTAGTCAGTGACCCACCCGCACCAATAATGAAGCAAACAGAATGCTTATGTCCACTAAGATCAGTTTGATTAAAAACAACTCATCTTACACGAATGTAAATTGATCATTAAAAAAATGAACATAGTTTATTTTTAACTATTTTGGTGTGTTGTTTTAAGATAGGTCACTGACACACAGAGATAAAACCAGATGGAAAAATTTAAAAGAAAGGGAAAAAAAAATTTAAAAAACTGAGTTAAGCCACGGCTTCTCAACAAACACTGAACTAATGTGCAAAAGTGCTCGAAATTTCCACATGACCGCAATGTTGTTAAGTCAGTTGGCAAAAAAGTATAAAAAAACTAAACTCAAATACTAAAATTGTATCTGCATGATCATACATTCTGTTTACCTAAAGAAAGTTTAGAAATTATGACATGTCTAAAAATATCACACCTCAAAATTAAAATGCAATTGTGGCAGTTTTATCCACTTTGTCCCTTTCCTCACCAAGGAGGCACAGGATGAGAGCTGAAGTCACCACAGGCCTCTACCTTAGGCTGACAATATGCTACACAGAAGAATAACCTGGCAACAACTTCTTTTATTCTTAACTGTGACAAAACAAAGTAAAGCAAAACAAACAAAAAACCTCATTTAAATAAGTGTGCATCTATACTGTTTACAAGAATCAAGCCACTTGCTTGATTTAGCAAAGCATTTGTCCATATTACTGTTCTTTTTAGTTCATTTCTTTTCCTTTAAAAAGTTTACAATGAGGACTATTTGAGAAACTTAAAAACTTGTGACTTTTATTAGTCATGTTCTATTAAAATACTGGCTAAAACCCTTACGGAAGAGTTAAGGTTTAGAAATCTTAGAACTCTTCTCAAATACCTACAGAAATGCTGGTACCAAGTGAGAGAACTGGGGTCACGATGATCCATCTCATTAGTTTTCCCTGTGAATGAGACATCTGTCACACTGCACAGGCTGGTCACTTAACTACTTGAGGGGAGGACGACCTAAAAGGAAGTGAAGGGGAAGAGACCCTCTGATCTACAGGAATGCAAACTGCTGGGTCTAGCTACTCTATATTAGTCTATCCAAATTTATTGCCAGAACAGTGAGTTCTAAGACGCTTATTGTTTTAATCTGTATACATTTCCTTGGTGATAAGACATTCTATCTTCAAAAACTGTCAAGAGTTTTGGCAAAACTGAGTCTGAGCTACTCAAAGTAAAAATAATTTTTAGAAAGTATATCCTCAAGCCATTGATCAACAAAAATATTGTCAAGAACTACTAAAAGCAACACTTATCCCTCCCTTCAAATATCACATGGCCATAACACTACCATCTGAAACACCAACAAAATAAAATGGAGCACTGTTTGGAGAAAAACTAACGAAAATGAAAAAGGAAGAAATGGGTGTGGGAGGAGAGGAGAAAGACAAACCAAAGAGAAGGAGGAAAGTGTCTAGCTCTGTGTTACGGCACAGACAGTGCTTGCTTAGTGGTGCCTTGTGACACAGGTGGATGCGGAGTGCACACACGGACGACGGCAACAAAGACCTCACTCAGTCGCGGGGATGAAGGAACTAGGTAACTGCTTCAACAAAGACGCTCTCAGCCCCACCTTCCCTCTCAACAGACTGCAAAGACTGAGTGTGAGCCCTCATGTCATCTTGTTGCTCATCTTCAAAATTCACAAAATTCTTTTGCACATTTTTCTGTTATAGAGACACGGATATCTTCTTCTTCATAGTCATCAAAGTTGCTGGTATCTCCAGAGCCTCTGAACTTTGGTATGAATGGAGCTTCAACCTATAATTGAGATAGAAAGAAAAATAAGAGTGCTATTGCGATATATAATAGGAAATATATATTTGGTTTTCATCCCAGTTGCAGGCACAGAGCTCCTAAAACCCTTGGATTTCTTAAGTGTTGAGAGTGGTAAAGGTGTATTTTGTTATGTTAACAAGGTGACTTTTGGAGCGACTCCAGGTAACCTAAGTTGGGGAAGGTTGGTTGCCAGGGGAACCAAACATGTGATTAGAGGTTGGAGCCATCAGTCCCACCCCTTGATCCCCAGGGAGAGGAGAGGGGTTGGAAATTGAGTTCAATCACCAATAGCCAGTGATTTAAACAATCATGCCTACATAATGAAGCCTCCATAAACCCCCAAAAAGATTGGGTTTGGAGAGCTTCCGGGTTGGTGAACATGTTGGGATTTGGGGAGAGGGGTCTGTTGGAAAGAGCAGGAAGCTCTGAGCCCCTTCCCCATACCTTGCCCTACAAATCTCTTCCATCTGGCTGTTCCTCAGTTACAGCCTTTTACAATAAACCAGCAATCTGGTAAGTAAAGTTTCTCAGTTCTGTGAGCCACTCTAGCAAATTAATCAAACCCCAGGAGGAGTCTGTGGGAACTCCAATGGCTAGCCAGTTAGTCAGAAGTACAGGTGACAGATTGGACTCGTGACTGGTGTCTGAAGTGGTGGTGGGGGAGCAGTCTTGTAGAACCCAGCCCTTAACCTATGGGATCTGATGCTACGGTATCAGAATTAAGTGCTTGGTGGTGAGGAAAAAAACACACATATCGAAATAAGAAACAGAAAAAAGAGATGCTTGAGAGTTTCCAAACACTAACGGAAATAAATTCCCACTGTTACTACACAGTGGCATCTTTAAATGCCTAAGTCCCTAAATGATAACAGCATTAGAAGAAGCAAACAGTAGGTTTGCTATTAATCTCAACATTTTCATTCAAGGAATGGTCAAGCCAACACAATACATAAGAGATTTCTAGGATAATTAACTGTTGGCGTCAAAAGGCTGGCACTTAAGGTTACAGAACTCCAGTTTTTCCTTTATCACTTCCTTATTTCTAAAGCCTTTGTTTTCTACCCCTTTTTCCTTAATTCATTTCTCCTTAGGTTATAAATAATTCTTAGACTTACTTTTAATCTCCTTTTTTTTAATCTCAAGTTTATTTTGTTTAAAATATCTGGTTATTGAAACTTTCTGGGAAGTTGGAAAGAAACATATCTCTTTTAGAATTATACAACCGTTAAATTCTGAACAGTTTTCTCCTTGGATCCTAAAAAAAAAAATCTTTCCATTATTTAAAATATTGTCTTTATAAAGATTATATGGTGTACTGAATATGTCTGAGAAAAAGATTTTAAAACCTTTTTCTCTTTCCAAAAGAATAATACCACAATTTATACAGCATTTTTAATACTTACAAACAACTACACACATGGTGTTTCATTTCTTCCTCAATACAGCACTGTGAGAGGCAGGGCAGGTATCCCTATGTCCATTTTATAGATTATAACACAGAAAGTTGACCAAATTCACATGACTAATAAGTAGCTAAAGCAGGTTTCAAATTCATGATTCTCTGCTTCCAGTCCACAGCTCTTTCTAATATCTACACCAGCGGTCTCCAACGTTTTTTGATTTATATGCCTTTTAGTAAAACATTTTTGAGTGTATATGACCAATATATATATAGTTAATCACTTATAAATTACACATGTGACTATACTAAGATATGCACACAAATAAGAAATTTAAAAAGAATAAGGTAAAAAATAAGTAGGCATGGAAAGTCTCATAGCATTTTTTGGTTTGCCAGCTGGTTGCCTGGCATGCCCTACTTTGGGGACTGCTGCTTTTTGCACCATGCAAAAGGATGAGCTAAGCAGACAGTCGCCTCATGTGTAGCCAGGCAGCAATTTAGGATCACCCCTCTGGGAACAATCAGCTCTAGAGAATGACTGCACAGTGTGACCTATCCAGGCCACATTCTTCTGTTTCTTGTCTTTCTGCCAGATGCCTTTGACGAGTTCATTGTTCATGAGCACTTGGTCAGAGAATACAAAAGACTATGAAAACTGTTCAAATTTACTATCATTTTTGTACTGTTGTGCACAGTTATAATTGAGATGATATTAAAACAAATGGCTAAAGTACTGAATTATTTCTATTTGTAAATTATCCAGGAATCCCCAAGTCCATTTGTGTTGACAATCAAGATTTGCTGTCGATCAATTTGTCCAATATTACAACCAGTAATTATAGTATGCTACTTCTTGGCAGAGAAGCTGTTTACTACCTCGGACAAGTCAGGTCCTTTGGAAAGCACATGAACTCTAGACTAGCAGTAGCAGTTCAGTTCTATCCCATTTTAAGAATAATTGTTAAAAATACAATACACGATATGGATAGATTAGTAAATGCTAAGAAATAGCAGAAATGTTTATTTCTAAATATAAATATGAAAAGATTCAAATACATCATAAATCTTTAAAATACTAATAAAATGGACAAACTTCAACTAACTCAAATACATCTCAATATAGCATTAATTAACAATAAATATCAATAAAGATACGGGATACGGATGAATTTATACAAAAATATAAATTTCTAAAATTGACTTAAGAAGAGGCAAAAAACTTGAAAAGACCAATATCCAAAGAAAAATTAGTTTGTTAAAATTTCCAAGGAATAAATATATTAGTTTCCCCTTATCTGCAGGAGATACCAAGACCCCAGTGGATGCCCGAAACTGCAGATGGTGCTGAACCCTATGTATACAATGTTTTTCCTATACATACATATATACCTATGATAAAGTTTATCTTATAAATTAGGCACAGTAAGAGATTAACAACAATATTTAATAATAAAACATATCTTAGCAACCACAGGGTATGATTTTTTTCTTTCCTTATTAAGTTGAGAACTTTCACTTTTTCACTTAAAGGAAGCACTTTATGGCTTTTCTGTGATATATCCGAATTGCCAGCATCACTGCTCTTGAGCTTTGGGGCCATTATTAAGTAAAATGAGGGTTACTTGAACACAAGCACTCCAATACCTCGACAGTCGATCTGATAACTGAGGCAGCTGCTAAGTGACTAACGGGTGGGGGGTGTACAGAGCGTGGATTCCCTGGACAATGGGATGATGGGTGGGTCTAGATGGCTAGAGATTTCATTACGTTATTCAGAGTGGCACACAATTTAGAACTTATGAATTGTTTATTTCTAGAATTTCCCATTTAATGTCTTCAGACCACAGTTGACTGCGGGTAACTGAAACTGTGGAAAGGAAAACCATGGATAAGGGAGGACTACTGTGCAAGAGAATTCCTGTTTCTTAAATTTCCCAAAGAATAAAAAACATGGAAAATTTCCAAACTCATTTTATGAATTCACATAATCTCAGCTCCAGAAAAACAAAAGCTACAGGTCAATAAAACTTAAGACCATGGAAGTAAAAATCCTAAATAAAATTTTAGCTAAGTGATTTCATGAAGATATAAAATAGTAATAACCCATGCTTAAATGATGTTCACTTCAGGAATGTGAGGCTATCTCGCCGATGCAATTCATCATACTAATATGTCAAAGAAGACAAACTACTGTATACTAGGAATCAAGGCTATTTCCTTGACCTGATCAAGAATATTTATCCAAGACAAACAGCTAACTTCATATTTGATGGTAAAACGAGAAAGGCATTCTCATTCTAAACAGGAACAAGACAAGACAACTCAACAGCCCTACTGTTTTAAAATATTTTTCTAGACATTCTAGCATACATAATAAAACAAAATGGAAATAAAAGATACAAATATTGAAAAAGAAGAGGCAATGATACCTCCGCCACCTCTGATTGTCTGTTAATAAAATTCAAGGGAATAACAGAAAAACCTATGGAAATCAATAACAGGATTTAGTAAGGTGGCCAATTACAATATAAGCATGGAAATCATAGGTTTTCCCCTATATTCTATTACGTTGGGAAAGCAAACACATTCACAATAGCAACCAAAATATAAATTTAAGGAATAACTTTAAGAAATAAAGTAGACCTGTATGAGGAAGGGGGTCCCTAAAACTTCACTGAATGACCGAATATATTTGAATAAATGCAGAAACATAACATGCTTATTATGAAGAATTCTCATGATCTTGGTTCTTTTTAATTTAATATGCTGTAATCCCAATTAAGAGCCCCAAATACAGCATAAATGTTTGGAAAGACCAATAAACAGAGGGGTTATTGTTTAATGGGTACACAGTTTCAGTTCTGCAAGATGAAAAGAGTTCTGGAGATGGATGGAGGTGATGGCTGCACAACAATGTGAATGTACTTAATACCACTCAACTGTACACGTACAAATGGTTGATAGTAAATTTTATGTTATGTGCATTTACCACAACAAAAAAACTGGAAAAAATATTGAATTATGTATTCTTTTTCATGAATATTTATAAGAATTCCTCACATTAAATATCTAAGTATTTTTAAAATTGAAAAAAACACATTATAAAGCTACATAAATGGTGTACAGTACAAAATAGATAGAAAGAACTCATAAAAAGTAAAGTTCAGAAACAAAAAAGAAACAGACTGAAATATATAGTAATTTAATATTAGTAAAGGTGGAATTTCAAATAAGGGGCCAAATTATTATTATTCAACAAATACTGAGAGGATAATTGGCTAACTATTAACAACACAAAGAAGTTAGATGAAAAAGCACTAAAAGAAAATATAGATTAAATAAGTCAACCAAATAAAATGGTTTAGTAGGTAGTAATTGTGATATAACAGTCGGAAGCTGAGGGGAAAGTGCAGGGGTGGAGGAAGGAGATCTTAGGTGGTTACCAAAGCCAAGGGAATGGGCTGCAGTGATGGAGAGCACAGAAAATAGAGTGCATATGCCAATGTCAACAGAGGTGCTACCCGGGTGATGGGATCATGACGATTTCAACTTTGTTTACTTAACAAATTACCTGATTATAACCACATGAAACTTACCTCAACCAAACCAAAAATAAAGCCTGGACCAATCTATCTGATCTTTCTCCCCAAACTACTCTTCCTTTTGCATTCTCTGCCTTAATCCAAATTTTAAGGCTAAGAAAACTGATGCTTTAAAGAGGCTAAATAATTTGGTCAAGATCACACTGCTCATGACTGGATGATCTGGGATTCAGACCGTCTACCTAACCCCAGGGTTCCTGCTCTTTCTTTGCTGCCTTTTGAGGCAGAGTCTTCCTATACCTAAAATGCTCAAAGCATACAAGTTAAGCACATCATATGTAAAATCTATGAAAATCTTATGAAACAACGTGTTGTTTAGTGGTTTGGGGCTTCATTTTAATAACCATAGTAAAGGTCTTTAAAAGGGTAATGTGATCCTGGAATTGGGAATTTGAAGAATCTGGAATCAAATATAGGCGTTATTTAGCAGTTGTATGATTATGTTTAAAGTAGTTAACTTTTTCAGCTGATTTTATTATCAGAAAAATAGGGAAAATGGTACTACCGATCCCACAGGATTACTTCAAAGATTAAAACGTGAAGTTACAGCGTTACTTTCATTAATTATAAAGTACTGCATTGGTGCCAGGAAATTTATAAAAAATAAGTAAATATGACATGTTTATTTATGAAATCTAAAAATCTGTTTTAAATTGCTATGGACCTTGTTCATTAATTTAATGGTTAGAGAGTTTCTGAACCCCTCTTAAGGGATACAGAGGCTGCAGATCACTCACAGTGTTTTGGCCTTGCTATATTTTCTATTTGCTGCATTTAAAATTTCTTTTAATGCTTTGTTTTTATAATCTTTTATAAAAGATTTAAATTAGAAAAACTGTGCTATTAATACTTAATTAGAGCATTTACTTTTTTTCTAAGGAAATTCGCTCATATGCCTGCACACCGTTATTAAATATGGCAAGTCTCTGAAACATCAAGAGTATTGGTTTTATGTAAAAAGAGAAACAATTAAATATATTCAAGATAAAAACACTTTATTCATACAAATTATCTTTCACTTGGCATTTAAGAAGAAAAAGAAGAGCTAAAAGTAATTCAGGCACAGCAAAATCTTTTCTTAAATGTCTCAATTTATTACAAAGGTGAAGTGATAAAGACTAAAAAATATCTGATGAATCTGGCAATTAAATGCTATTAAATCTGGCTGTGTGCTAATTCTGGGTAGGAGAATTGATTTATTTACATGTTGTCTTTCTAATGTGGCTTCATATCAGTTTTCAAATGCAAACCCTTAGGACACTGTCTAATATACAGTTACCAGGGTATTGTGAAGAGTAACAGGCAAAGGTAGGAAAAACTGAACAAGGAGAACATTTCAGATTGATGGTCAAAATAGAATGTATGCTTTCTCTTTTATCAAGGAGAAAACATTTTTAAGTTGTGGGTGGTAAAGGTCCTTTAAGTTCTGCATTGGATTAATTCAAAAGGTAAAAAAATAAAAACCATGTGTTAAGTTGAAAATATCTCTACTACACACAATTTAAACACCAACTTTTAAAATGCTTTTAAATTAAAGAAAGACAAGGCTCACCTTCCTCTGGTAAATCGCAATCCAATCTGTTGTGGCAAACCACTTGTGAGTTTTTATGTCACTCACACCATTCTTTAGATTTCCAAACCGCTTTGTCAAATCCACCTGCAGTAGGTTCCTTAGGAGGTCCTTGAGATCTGAACTGAAGTGTGATGGGAATCGGACCTGCACAAACACACCGCTTGGTGAAAAACACATTCCAAGACTCATGATATTTCTGTTTTGATTTCAGAAAGGGTTATTTTTAAGTCATTATATAAACAAAAATATGTAGTGATGATCTTGAAATACTTTTAACTATACACTTTCATCCCCATAGTAGTCTTCAAGAAGAGAATCATTTGGGTGAACAAGCTAAAACTGTTCTCTTAGGGCCTTGTTTTGGTCATGAACCCTCTTTAAGAACATGGACTCCTCTCCAGAAAAATGTGCCAATGTACAGAAGTTTTCCAGCAATGTCAGAAGGTTCATCCATCTTCAAGAGAGCCTCCCTGGATCCCATATTACAAATCTCTTAGAGACATATAAATTTAAACTTGTAATTTAAATAGAAAAGGCAGCATATGAAAGATATCAGTATGCACATTTTGAAAAGAGATTATCAAAAAGGCAGTCTAAAAATGATTATAAAAACCCACACTGCCTTCACAGCACAGGAAACCATTTTTCATTTATTAGTGGATGACTTTTAAGCATAATTCTACTATGCAACAGTATAAAAATGATTTAGATTGGCTTAAAAGCATTTTCCACCCCCTAAATTGTGAAGACTTTACAATTAGTTGACTGGCCTCCAGTCTTAAAAACAAACAAAAAACCCAAAATAACTGAAGATGTTATATATCAGGCACATAGAGGCCTAGGCCTATTTTTAATTTTGTTTTGTTTAAACACATTCTTCTCCTCTAACTCTCTATTCCAACCTAACTCCGAGTTCTTACCCTTTTATTAATACGGATACTGAAAAATTAAAATGGATTCTACTACGAGATGAAATGAGAAAGAACAGCTGCATCTATGCCTCCTTCCTTACTTTTTTCTCTCATTATTACCACCCTCTCCGCTATCCTTTTCAACTCATGTTCAATCATTTCCACTGCCCTCTTCCTCCCAAACATGCAGGTATGTACATGTATATATCAATGTGTGTAAGCACATGTGCAATTTCATTCTAATTCCATTTTCCTATTATGCACACCTAGGCCCCACTTCATGTTCCCACCCCCACTAAACAGAAACCCTATTCTCTGAATTGTCAAGGCCTCAACTCCAAACTAACCATAGACCCCTAAGAAAATGCTTTGAAGGGTTAACAGATCCATTTTTGAACTCCTTGCATTCTTACTTTGGTTCTCTACAAGTGCCACCATCACCTTATAACTTGCATAGTGAGTCATTACATTACCTCAGTTGATCTTCATAATGCATTCATTCATTTAACTATACTGTAGTATTTTTGCATATCTGTCTCCCCTAGACTGTGAGTTTCTGGAGGGAAGGTACTATGTCATTTTTGTGTTTTTACTCCCAGAATTTATTAGATCATTTCAAATAATGTAGTTCATCCATCTGACAATTACTTATTGAGTACTTGCTATGTATCAAGCACTGTTCTAGGTGCTGGACATACATCAGTGAGCAAAAACAGACAGTCTCTGATTTTTTGGAGCTTATACCCTAGTTGAATATGACATACTCAATGAATATAGTATTAACTCTATTCTAAAGATGGAGAAACTAAGATTCAAGGACTTTATATAATTTACCCAACCATTAGACTACAAAGTGGCAGAGCTGGGACTAGAAATCTAGTCTTATGATTCCTAGCCTCATGAATTTTGCTCTTTGTTACACTATCTTCAAACATATAGAACTCCTTAATTTATATTGACTTTCAAAAAGCTCAACATACTTGACATACATTCTCATGTTCTCAAAGTAGAAGTTATTATCATACAAAACTAAGTTCTCTGGGAATTCATAACCATAGTCTTCTGACTGTCACTCTCATGCTATTCTGTAAATAAACCTTTCTCAAAGTGTGGTCCTGGGACTCACTTTCATTTGAATCAACTGGGAGAGTAGGGGATAAAAATGCAGCTTCCTGGGGCTTACTTCAGATGATGGGGGCACTGGGCCTGAAAATCTGAGCTTCTATCTCCAAGTGATTCATATGTACATGAAAGCTTGAGAAACACTATTTGCAACTCTATTCACTACTTTATGCAGTTTTACTTTTTCTGCTAGTGACAGATCAAAAAAAGGTTAATGTAAATAATAAGTTAAAATTATCATCATACCAAAGGAAAACTAATATTTGTATCAAATAACCGAAGGCTATTTGAAGGTTGAACAGCGAATAAATGACCAGGATTTGGGGTCAACTCATATAAATTAGCAACTAAAAGCCTTTTGTGTAAAGCCCGGATTATCACAGATTATAAGAGGTTTTATGTTCTTCAAAAGAAAAAAAGACATGAATTACCACCTTCTCTAGTTTTTACTTCTGACACAAAGGTTTATTAGAAGTTAGGCACTTTGCTAAACAGTTTATATGCACTGACTCATAAAATCCAAAACAGAATACTGAGGTAAGTATGATTATTGTCCCCATTTTATAGGTGATGCAATCGACACCTACGGAGATTAAGTAATGTGCCCAAGATTACAGAGCTAATAAGCGATAGAGCTGTAATTCCAAGCCAGGTATTCTGACTTCAGGTAATATGCTTTTAATTATACAATACTATTTCCAGGATCTGATAACCTCAACATAGTTATCGTCAGGAACCTTATAAAAGACTAGTAAGATGAAATTTTCACCTTAAAAATATTTGCTGCACATTTCCTCATTTATGCTAGCTAAGAGTAAAAACTAGAGAATATGGGGTATTCAAAAGGCACGCTGTCTACCTGAAAAATAACACAACGTATCTATATAGTGGTTATATTCTAACTTTGCTCAGATTCCAAAGAAGTAACCTATTTGAAGTAGACCTGTCTTAGTTTAGAATGAACTGTTTCAATGTAACGTGGCAGTTATTCTCCGTTTTATGCTGTTCAGAACAGTAGACAGTAATGTGCTACAAACAAATTATCTTCTGAATTCAGGTAATATGCAATGCAATGCATGAAGAATATACACACCTACATAGTTATTTATTTTGGAATGTAGATAAAGTGATGGTCTTGAATTAGTTAATGTGCGTGTGTGTATCTGTTTAATTTTCAGAACAGTGATTGTCAAATGGGGAGTGGTAGTGGGGTGTTGTCATAGTAGATATCAGAATCATTTGAGGACCTTTTCAAATTACAGACGTATCCTCTTCACTTCCACATCACACCCTCATCTTCCCCAGAGATTCTGATAGGTAGCCCACACTCTCATAGTAAGCCATGTGAAGGATGGGAATCTGTCATATCCTTAAAGTATACTGGAGGAGAAATAATGAGAATCACTGTGAAAATATTTTTTCCATAATTGCTCTGAAATGTAATAAGAAATGTGGTTTTTTTGTTGATTGAACTTTCTAAAGAGCCATGATGATTCATCAAATTGAAATTAGCAAAAACCAGAAAATAAACAAAACTATGTTTTAAATACCTTTATTTATAGTATATTAATCTATAAACATCAAAGATTTCTATAATGGAAGAAATGACTAGTTTTTCCTTCAAAACTGTATCAAAAAGTATTCTTTCTATCACATCAGTTATAACTGCTGTAGAAAGTGAAATCAGAATCCTAGAATATTGGAGCTAGAGGAAGCTTAGCTTAATTTAGTCTAAACCTTCATTTTAAAGATAAGGAATCTAAGCTCCAGGGAGACTACCAACTCACTCAGTTTCATTTTTGGGAAAATAACTTAATCCTCCTGACTCCTACATCTTTGTGCCAGTCCATGATAGGGCAAATAATGTGAAAGTAGCTATAAAAAGCCACATATGGAAAAGAGACAGTCTAAACCCATTAAATCATTAGATGCGAGAGATAAAGTTACTGGAAACTGGCATTATTTAACATGAAAAAGGTGTTTGTACAACACGAAAGAGGTATTTGTGCAATATTCACTTCCTAAAGTGTTTATTTGGTCTCTTTTCCTTAATATTTCCTGGTTAGGATTCTTTTCGAACTTTTAGAGACCAAGTTACTTCTGAGTTTCCTAATGAAATATTCTTGAGAATATATCTATTTCTACAGTGAAGTATAGACACACAGAACAAGCTTTCAATAACATGGTATGTATCAAAATCACCTGTGATAATTTAAAAAGTACAGATGTTTGGAATACACAGAAGACCAGTTGAATCAGTATCTCTGAGAGTGGGCATCCACTTTATGAAGCTTTTCTTGCTTTGGCACAAACTATTTTTTTATCTTTGGGCAATTCTGAGTCTTGATTTACCAAATACAGGATAAAGGAGTTAAGCTAAATAAAAGTGAACATTCTTGCCATCTCAAAAATTCTACCAAGCTATTTCTTTCAGTAGAAAGAATACCTGGGTTCCAATCCCAACTCCAGTTACAAAATGCTCTATGCTTTAGGGGAACTCTTTTACTTTCTGAGTCTCAGCTACCTCATCTACAAAATGATGAAAGCATATTTCATCTGGCAGGTATGAAAAGAAATTAGGCAATTTTTATGAAACTGCCTTGCATCATGCCTAGTATCTTGTAGGCACTAATTCAATACATTTTTCAACCTTTCTATTAGAATAACATTTTAATGATCTGAAGCTGAATTTTTGAATCAAAGAAGGAACTTAGAAGTGAGCGATATCTATTATTATGTTTTCAGACTACCCAAGGACAGTGTGTGTTAGAAAAGTCATTTGGAGAGTGCAAGAAGTTCCTCCTTTCTTCTTGTCGCATGCTCCACTTGTTAATGTATAGAACAAACACTATCTTTTTTTCTTATGGTACTTAAATTTGATAGAGCGAGGGAGAAAATGGACAACTATAACCCCGTTTTATAAGGACAGCATTGTGAATATAGCTGATATCTTAAACAACTTTGTCAAATTACATTATGTAAATATGTTAAACCAACTACAAAAATTCACTCTGCATTGAGCAAACTCAGCAGAATATTTGTTCTGCTTTCAGTCCCAAATATAAAGTCTTGTACATTTTGGTTTTAGGAATGACTACTATTTTCTAAAAA